ATTTCGGCACTTAATGCCACTATACAATGTAACACCCACTTTTCACTATTTATGTTATGAGTCCCATGTAATAGGGGGTGAGCCTATTGCCATATCCCATACATAATTTATATAGAAATAAATACAAATAAAACCAATCCGGGTATAAATCACGAAGAAACTATAAGATAAAGAAAGAATACATTGTTGAATCCGTAGATAGGATACAACAACAAATATTAATAAACAAAAACAACAAATACAAATACTAATAATCAATAATCCACCAACATAACAGTAGTATAAAATATACCTACCGCTTACCTATTTAGTTAATTCTAGTATCTAAACTGCATAAAGTAACCGGCTTACTTCCAATTAAAATCAGGTACAGATGGAACAGTTGAAAAGTATTACCTTTAAGACTTAAATATAAAGCATGACCTCTTCAAAAATATATATAAAACTGTATCCGACTGTACACTCGAAGCGGAATCGACACTTGACATTTAAAAAATCGGTACCCAAACTCTGAAGAGAGGAAACATACTACAAGAAGTGAGGCTACTCGCCCAATCAATAAACATAACACCATGACTGCTTTTTATTATTATGTTTTCGGTTTACGTAACTGTTTGATGAGGAACTCGACTAGTTTCAAGCCATGCTAGAGGCTCATATTTATGAGCAGCATTCCGCGACTCGCGACGCGGCAACTATCGCGCTGGTGGCGGCGCGCTACGTAAATAATAATTAATTTAGTATATCTCACGAAAATTATAATATAAACTACTACTGCTAATGTATAATTGTATAAAATAGATATAATAGTGAGCTATTGCATTTTGCTCACTAGATGGCGCTAGTGAATTTTTTCGTCCTATAGAGATTAACTAGTATCACATCATTGGACGTTCTATATTTGAAAACTGTAGTGATTGGCACGAAAATCTTTTTGATAAATTTGCGCCATCTCATGACCGAAAATACGATTGGACTTATTTTAATAAACTAAGCTAAAGCAATTGATATTTAATTATCTAGCAATTACATATTTGTTATGTGCTTTTGGTTCTCGTCAACAGGTATATAAATACTGATTTCGAGTTCGATAATGGCACCTGGAAGTTACGGAGGGAGACCCATTTCAGCTATGAATTCATTTATAGTGACGATGATAACTTCCTAATGTTTTTCATCACAGAAAATATTACTGTAAACCGTAGTCCTTTAGCTTTGAATAAAAATAAAAATTCATAGAATTATCATTAAAATTTGACTTTGAATTTAATAATTCAGTGAAGTACTAACTAATCTTCCTTGAGCATCATAAAAGAAAAATCTCTTAGTTTTCTGAGACGCAAATCCCACGGACATCTTGAAGAGAATTAATTAGTGGAAGTGGATAAACAGGAGGCCTTGAAAGAATTCAGAGAGCTACCGGCCGAGCCCTTCAAAAGTATGGTACAGCGCCATCTGCTGATGATCTTATAAAAACAAGGAAATATTTTTATAACTTTATATCGTTTTTGTTTGAAGATGTCGGTCAATGACTCCACATAAGTGTTAAATATGTATAGGCCTATAGAAGATAAAGTTGTCTAGGTTTCTTCATGCCTCCTTGTAGTTAGTTGGCATTGCATTACATGCAAACAATATTGGCATAACAACCAGTTTGGTTATAGCTCCAAACAGAAACCTTATTAAAATAACACAGCAGAATAAATAATTCTAAACTTCTATTATTTAATATTATGATTGTCAATTTCAATATGCAAATGATATTTCGTCGTCCTTATTTAAATCAGAACGGAAGTCCAAAATATCAGCCGACCTCAAAACAATGGCCGCAATTAATCAAATTCATCAACGCATTAATTTAAACTAAGGATATTATGAACTGATGAGATCTTCATGGAGATTTGATCATTCTTCAGGATATATTATGAATTAAAAGTAATGGAAAGGATTAATGCGTTGGAAATGAGAGTCCTAAGAAGTAATTTAAATTATGTATAAAGAAAACTTTATGTAGACAAGCGTATTACAAACTTAATGATTATATAGTCCCAACACAAGTATTGTATAATAACTTACTGGGACTGCCTCAATGTTAGACAGATAGTGTAAATCTTAAGATAATAAAGAATTTTGAATTTTGAATTTTGAATATAGTGGATAAAAATGCATGGAAACAGGCTAGTCCGGCTCCACAGGATAACGAAAAACACTG